AGATGGAGGTATAAGGCAAGAATTAAGTATCTTTTTAAATTTCCTTATCTCACATATTTTACTGTGAGCTCCATCACATTTTTAAGATTTACTCCACTGTTATTACGTTCCAATTCACAAAATAGAACGGATTTCCCATTCTGAATAAAAAACAAGACTCTTACTCCTAAACTACATAAATAGCAATACACTTGACTACTATTCATAAACTTGGATGCTGAAGTTCATTCAACTATCCGTTAAAAGAAACATTTGAACAATTCTAAAAGGAAACACCTAAATCTCCAAGTCACCCAATAAATCAGAAACCCACTACTAAGAACACTGACCACTCTATTCAAACGGAGTGAATAATAGGCCTCAGGTCACACGAGGAAGGGGAAGCTGCTGCACAGGGCCCTGGAAGATACACTGGCCCAGCCCCCTTCCCCCAGCCCTGGCTGTAACTCATGCTCAGACTCCCTCTTCCTCCTTGAGAGAGCTATGTGATTTTAAAAAGAAAAAAAAAGGTCAACAGCGTTCTGAGTACATATCGCAAGCTTTGTTCTACTCGCTTCCCCACTTCCTGTTGCTTCCTCACCTCATAACTTTTTATTTTTGAAGCCTATGTGTTCACACTGGTATCACTGTAAGGTTTCAGTGGGAGGCCGTCGGAGGGACCAGGATGAGGAGACTCTGTACTGTTCTGAGACACACAGGACCGTACGAAAGACAGAAATCACAACCGCCCAGCCCTCAGGAAAGTACACCCAAAATTTCACCGCTCCTGTCAACAGTAGGGGTGCTAGGAAAACAGTTGTGGGCGAGCTTTACTTTGTGGGGAGCGCACTGTGTGGGCAAGGGTCACTTAACCACTAGTGAGTACCAGGTGGCTTACAGCTGGGATCCAGGGGAAAAACGCTCTGCACCCACAGAACAAGAAATGCCCTGAAGGAGACACGAGCCGGCTCTGCAGGTTACTCAGGCCCCTCCAAACACCTGCCCAAACCCCGCACTCCAGGGAGGGATCACTGCTGGGAAAAGGAGCTGAAAGACTGAAATGCTTTGTGAGTGGGAACCTGTCTAATCTCCAGCTTAGAACAGAGGTCAGGACAAAAGGGGGACATTGACACTATTTGGCCAGCCCCTTCCTGTTACAGAGGACACCAGGACCAAGAGCTGTTATCACAAAGTTAATTTACTCACAGGAGAGCAAGTACTGGATCTCCCTTCTCCCATCTCCCAGGACAGGGCTTTTGAAAATCTTCTCAAATAAACATGGAGCAGGTGCTCAATAAAGATGGTTCAGCTACACTGAACTGCAACGCACGGGTGGCTGGAGGGACAACCGTAAAATGCCTTTTGCCTGTTTGACACCAGGAGGTCCCATCTTCTAGAAGATGTTTTGGGGGTTAGAGTAGCCTGTCCTCAAAATCAACTCTGGCTCTTAAATGCCTAGGCTTAAGGACTGCCCTTCAACAGGTTCCTAAGCTAGATTGTTGCACCCATCTGCCATTATTTCCCAGCCCAGGGGAAAAATTCTGGGAGACAGGATAATGTTGCACAAGGCACAGGGGAGGGAAAGAAACGCTGGGCTCCAGCCTCTGGTGAACACGGGTTCAGCAGATGGCCTCGGGGAGTCGTCCTGCCCCCACCCTCATGCCTTCCTGTATCCACATGTACCCTTTGAACATGATCTCTAAGAAGCCGCTGGTCCTGTGGGTCTCAGATCCTCAGAGCCTATACGCTCCCATCTGCTGGCCACCACAGAGCTCATTCTTCTGCCCCTACCTTCAGCCTTTCTGCCTACTCTACCTGCCTAGAACATCTGTGAGCCCTCAGAACAAGAAGCAGTGGGCTGGCGGGTTCTTTTCACATTTGTACCTAATTTGAGTGTACCATGAGCTCTTGATGTGTCTTCTGGAATCCTTCCCAAAGAGTAAAGCTTTGCTCCCAAAATAAAATGAAATTTAAAATGTGATGAAGGCCTGCTATGTGCAAGGCCAGGGTCAGGCTGGACTGTGTCTCACGGGCTGGGAGAAGGACATCCAGAGTTGGAATCCAGACAGCCAAAGCCCAGCCTCACCCCATCAGCCTTTATCTCCTTCCCGAGACCGATTTTCTTCCTGTGAGCTCATTGACACCTGACAGTGTAGTAGATGTTTACACGTTGACTTATTACATGTCTTGCTCATTGGAAGGAATGCTCCATGAGGACAGGGGCTGGCTTTGTCTATCCCGGCAGCCAGGGCTGCACCCAGCACACGGCAGGGGTGTGATGCCTGCTGAATGAACCAAGAAATGGATGAGTGAATGAATGAGCAGTCGATCCTAGATGTGTCTTAATCATGACCAAGTCACTTAACATCTTTAAGTTTCCTCATTTATAAAACAAGGATAATAATAATGTATTCTTTATGTGACTGGAGTGAGCATTAAACAAGAAAATGATCGTAAAATCATTTAGGATGTACCTGGCACACAGCAAACCATCGATAAATGTTAGCTATTACTTGTTAGCCATTATTACTATAGTCACTGATGGAAACATACAGAAATAAAGCCTCTTTATGATACCCTGGGCAGTTTTTAGGCTAACTAACTGAAATTCTGTGTGTGTAAGACCTATCTAGAAAGGATCATTAAGAAAGGCCTAAGCCATGGGTCTTTATAGATACTATGGGTCCCTGAGAGCGTCAGTCTTAGCATAAAACCTTTTCATGTCCCTGAAAGTGATAAGGGCCTTTGTGCAAAGGCTCCTTTATGGGTCTCTGATAGTCATCATCCCAGCAATTAAAGTCTTCAGATACCTAATTCCTGCCCTCAAGAGCTTACATTCCAGCTGGGGGACATGAGACATTAGCATATGAAAGGAGACCTATAAATTCAAACTCAAGACAACATATGTCCAATGAGTGCATTGGACACAAAGTGCTGAGAAATGCTGGTAAGGCAAATGTTTAACAGGCAGCGCGCGCACACACACACGCACACACACACATACACACGCAGAGCAGCTGTCAATTTCCAAGGTATAAATACTCCCACTATGGCGCTTCAGGCTGCTGATGTGTGGGCCACTGGTCATGGAATTGGGAAGAAACATGGACAATCAATTCCCATGAGCCGATGCGGCCCAGCTCCCACACACACCACCTGTCTAGGCACGATTGTCAATCATCTCTCAAAGAGGTCAAGGGCTGTGGGCCAAGTGGTCAGTCCTGACAACCAACATCTTTGTGATACGTCAGGTTACTAAGCACACCAGAGGCCATTACTATATTTCATCCTCACCACCTGGCCAGAAAGGTATTACTGCCCTCATTTTGCAGATAAAGAAACTGGTGTCAGAAACGTACCACACATTTTTCACTGTCATTCTGCAAGTGAGTGACATCGTCAGGGCTTGAACCTGCATCTTCTGGGGCAGCCAAGACCTCTCATCATCCCCTCTGCCTCTGAGAAGGAGGGCTTCTTAGAGAAGTGGTTGAAGGACAATGAGAAGTAAGTAAAGGGCAGGACGGAGATTCAGGAGACATATAGTGCTCACCCAGATGGTGAACTCACTGCAGTGTGCGCCAAGGTCACGGGAGTGTGCAAGGCCTGGCAAAACCTGAAACTAATGCAACCATTTAGTTCAGCATGCTTCACCAGAGAATTTCTTTCCTAAAACAGTGACCTAGCTATTAAAATCTGCATTCCCAAATCCACTGCAGCTTTAGGTGAACGAGCAAAAGAAATGGAAAGCAATTTAGATGACTAAATATAGAGGAGGGGCTGGTTAAATAAGTTATGGAATATCCGCATAATAGAATGCTGCACCATCACAGAAAGTCAGGTTTTAAAAGAGCAGTGTACAACTAGGAAATCCTCACAATAGAGTTTTAAAAGCACATTACATAACAATATGTGCAGTATGATTCCAGTTCTGCAAAAAATGAACAAGCAGACAAACTCTCCAATGTATATATGCAGAGAAAAAAAAAGACTAGGATGTAAACTTCCAAATCCTCACACTGATTTCTTCCAGAAGGATGGCTGTTTTTATTTGCTTCTCTATGATTTTCTATATGTTCCAACTTTTCTATAACAAGTTGCTTTTATGACCATAAAGTAGTAAACGGACCAGATTTTTAAGTCTGGATTTTCAAAGGCTGAGAAGACTAACTACAAAGAATCAGTGAGGTGACCCCTGGGAAGACACCCCTCTAGGGCAAAGGTCCAGGTTCTCGGGCCTCTGATACTTTCCCCTTATACCCCAAAGTGATAAGCCAGGTCACCCCCAAACTCCAACTGTCCCCCGACAACACACTAACAACGGTACCTCCCTCCATACAACCCCCGTGCCCCCTCCGTCAGCAGGCTATCCTGTCTACACCCTCCCCTGATCAATACCCACCCTGGTGGGGGGGCAAGGCTGGAAGGCACAGCAGAGAAGGCGGGCACAGCCAGTAATTCATGAGCACCCTCCGCGTGCTGTGCAGGATGCCGGGCTTCACACATGGGACCGCAGATGTACACATTCATTCTAATACCTAGACATTGTTTCCAACACTTTTCAGAGAGGAGACGGAAGTTCAGAAACAATATCCAGGCTCACTCAGCCAGTGAGTGCCCAGGATTAGGAATAAAAACCAAGTCTAACCAGAATTGGTCTATAGATGCTTAAGAGGCTTGCCTAAAAACCTGCACTTGACCGTTAGGACATGCAAAATAATAAGAATATAACAATACTCATGCAAAAGATATTTCGATTCAACATTTAATGTATACTCAGGCTGAAATCGAAATGCACCACCAGTCCGGATTTCAGCATATAAAAATACAGATATTGAATAGTTTTGAAAGGAAAGAAAAAGAAAGGGGGGGGGGAACCTCAGCTCTGTGCTCAACCCTCATTCAGTGAAGTAAAAATAAAAACCGAACCTCCCCCCAACACATTGTGCTTTAATGAAAGCACCAAGCCAATCTTCTTCACTACCGCCCACCACAGCCCACTTCGTTTAAATTTAGGCACCCACCAGGCGAACTGTACCCAACCGCATTCTCTGAAATGAAGTCATAAAGTTCTCAGCTGCAACACCAGCATTTGTTCCCAGGAAAACGGGACAGGTGGGGTAGACAGGGCCGGCATCCTTCTGGGAAGTCCGGGTTGTGCCTCAGAAGAGCCTTTTGCAAAGACTTGGTTCCGTGACCAGGCTCAGCCCACACGGGGCTGTGTGACCTTGTGACAGCCAACTTCCCCTCTACAAAGTGAGGGTGGACTCTCTGAAAGAAGCACTAAGGCCCATCTAAATGTACGACTCTAAGGCTGAAGCCCAGATACCCCACCCACCCCCCAACACCTAAGAATGAACAGCAACCCAAGGTATGGGTAGAGCAGGGCTAAATTAGTTGGTGTGACCTGGGGCTGCTGTCATTCTTAAGCTCTGGCTCTGCAGCATTCAGTTCTCAGGAAATGTTTGGCAACAGGAGGGGGACAGAGCATTGAGCCTGCAGGAAGGCTTCAGCAAGGAAGGCTCTGTGGCCACTCTTTGGTCCCATTCAAGCAAGATCAGAGAGATTTTTGCCCACTGGGACTCAACAAACTCTGAGTCCCTGATGCCACACTTGGCTTTGTAAGTGTGATCGGGTCAGAGAAGAGACCAAAGGGAGAAGCTACTAGCTAATAAAAACTCTCCCCAGTTTTCTGGATGAAACTGACAGTTGAGGGGCCCACAAGCTAGCTGGATTTTTCTTCCAGCAACCTAGTCCCTAGATTTTTTTTTCCCAAGGTTCCCTTCCAGTGCTTCATGAGCATGTCTAAGCCCTCACAGTAGGTCCATAATCACCCCTCAAGCAGAGGAATGAGACACCCTGGAAAAGGGGAATACAATTACCATCCACAACTCAAGGAGAAGTAGGGCCTTAACAAATGCATAACTCACAGCTCCATACAGACACCATCAAACTACCTCATGCTCACCAAGACCTGGGAATTGACCACACTGTTCAACCAATCTGTGATTCCAATTCCTGCAATCAGTGGACGAGCAACTGCTATCTGGTTAATGGTCATGCACATGCGCATATGTGCACACACACAATTCTAGGCTTCCCCAGACCCTGTCCCCCTTCACACCTGCAACCTTCCAAGCAGATCCATTCTGAATTCCACATCTTCTGAGCCACCCTCTAAGGGCTCCATCAGAATCCAGTAGAAAATCAGAGTCAGAAAAAGAAGATATAGAGGAAAGTGGAGGGAAACTGATGGCCTCTGCTCTCTGAAGCTCTCAGATGTGTGACTTCACTATCCAGCTTCAGGAGCTGAGAGATAAGCCTCCCAGATCTCTCCCTTTGCTCCGACTGGCTGAAACAAGAACCCTGAATCTGGGCCCCCACGCTTCCTCCCACCACGGCCAACTTGAAATCCAGAATGCCCAATCCTCCAATGGTAGTACTTTGAAGGCAAATAAAAGTGAGATATGCATATTACACTAATTTACACAGTGCTAAATTTACCCAGCCCACCTTCCCAAGAGGGGGACATGATAGAGAATAATAAATATTTTTTATTGTAAAAGTAAATATAGTAAAAATACTTTTACTGTAAAAGTATGGCTGATGCAGATAGTAGTGAAGATTGTGAACTCTGGAATCAGGATCTGGATTCAAATACAGAACTTTTCACTTAGTAGCTGTGTGCCCTCAGGCAAGTTACTCAACCTCTCTGAGAATTCTTGTCTGCACAGTGTGTATTATAAGAAGGAACATATATAACTTGGGATTTATTCATTAGTTTCGACAATGAAACCCAAAAACTGTTTTCCTCAGCAGCCTGGGAGTACCCCAAGAACTAGAAGGATCCAGACTTCAGAAGCAGAGTAACAACAACAGGACAGGGACAGGTACATCAGTCCCCTACACTATCTAGGCCCCTGTACACCCCCATGCACATGCCCTGCAGCAGGCGCTGCGGCCCTCACCCACAAACCCCCTTGGGCCACCCTTGCAGACAAGGAACACTGCAGAAATGATCTAGGCATCTGGTTTTCAAACTTTTTTTAGCAGCAGAATCACAGACCCCAATATAGAGAACAGAGATAAAAGGCAAGATGCTCTCAGAGCAGTGGATTCTAAGATTAACTGATCTGCAGTCCTGGAAGAAACTTACAAACTAAAATTACACTGAACAGAGAAGGGCGAGAAAGAAAGGAGAGGAAGGAGACAGAGGGCATCATCGGAGTATGGAGACAAGAAATTAGACGTGTAACTGAGATGGGACCTCGTGAGGACCCCATCTCATTTGTGAGACAAAACCAACAGCCTCAGGCAACTTCCCCAGAAAGTATTCTCTATACATACCCCTGGTTAGAGGGGTCAAATGACAGGACACTGGCACTGTCGGGATGTAGTCTAGAATGACAATATTACATCATTACTATCAATTATTGATTAAGATTCAAACACTCACCCTACTCCCTGAATGGCTTTCACCTGCCTGACGAAATCCCTTATGTCTCAAGACATCTTTTGAGAAAATAGATCCAAAATGCCCAATGCTCAATCCAAAATGCCCAATGCCTTTGCCCCAGGAAATGCCACCTCCTACTCAGCCACCACTCCTCACCTCACTCATTCTCATTGTTTCTTTCAGGCTTCACGGACAGCATTTGTTTGTCCAATAAAAACCCCATTCCATTAAACAGAAGGACACCCAGCCAATTGTGCCCCCTCAGAAGCTTGTCTCCATCAGAAATGCATTAATAACCCACTGAAGCAAAGTGTATGACTTGCTAGTTTGGGCAGGTCATAGGTCAGAAAATAACTGCTCTCAGAGAAATACATCAATCATCTGATAAACCAGCCAAAGACCAACATTACAGAGGAGTGGCACTGTGGAGGGTCCTCCAGAAAGCATGGACAAAACAGAATATTACTTCCACTCATTGCAGAAAGTCTGAGTGATGTGAGTTAAGACAGCAAAATATTTTCACAAGCATTCCCACCAGTCAGAACCCAACTCCACTTTGCAGTCTGAATCCTATATTATTATTCAGGAATGACCATTTAGCATCAGTGATTCACAAGAAGAAGGTGATAGATAAGGCAGTAGGATGGGAAGGGCAGGGGCCCTGAAGTCAGAGTACTGAGTTCAAATCCCAGCTCCAGCACTTGCTAGCTGTGTGCCCTTGGTTAGATGATGTATGCGGACTGGATAAATGTACACAAAACATTCAATAAATACCAGCCCTCTCCTAATGCCTTCCTTCTATCTCCAACCCTACCCCCAAAGTGAAGCAGGTCTGAGCATTTTGCAAAACCATTATAGGGCAAGTACCATTTAAACCCAGGACGGAATCACCTCTGTGTCTGCGCAGTATGATAATAAGGAATCCAGAGGGTGGCCATCACATGCCCTTGGTCCTTATTTTCCTAAGCACCTCTCCATAACTTTGCCAGTGCCAAAATTCTATTCATCCCTCAAAACTCAGGTCCAATGCCATCTTTGCATCTCTCAACAAAAATTAACACCCCGCTTCCGTGACTCCATTTGCTTGTGTGCGTATATAGTGCTTACTTTTTTCTCCTCGGTATTACAGTTCTGGTTCTGCACCTCCAACTCTAAAGAACAGACTCTTCACAAGTGGGATCTTGTCTCTCTCATCCCCCAAACCTCCTGGGCCTGGCACATTGCTTTGTGCATGGCAGATCAAGAAAGATTTTGGATGAATGGACGAATAAATGGATAGATGGATGGATAGGTGGATGGATGGATGAATGTATGGGGAAGGAATCCATTCAAGATTGTCCTGACACCATGTAAAATGCATGCTCAAAGCAATTCTGTAGTGAGGGCTCATCTTATGTAAGCCAAGGAAACTACAAGGACGAGGTCATGCACTGCTAGAGAGACTATCCCACACGCAACACCAACACCCTGGGGAGAGGCAGAAATACTGGCCTGGAACCTACACTGTGCAGGCCTGATTCAAGCCCTCAACCAGTGTGTACCACAATCAATTCACATCCCCTCTATGGGCATCAGTTTCTTCATTTCACCTCCCGCCACCTGGAAGACTCACAGAGACTTCACCAGATGGAAGGAAGGCAGGCGGCACGGAGAGAAAATGCTGCATAGTCCCCAGGGTCCAGGTTTATTTTCTAAATGGTTTTATTGTTTGGTGACTTTTAGAAAGAAAACTCCAGAGGGAGAGAAATGAAACAGAATGTACAGAATTTTTAAAAAAATAAAACAAAAATCAGGAGGAAGTATGTCCCTCTCATTTCTCATTAAACCCATACTATAGTCAAATTTTAGTAACCAGCCAAAGTTATCATTCCCTTTACAGACAAAAACTTACTAAACCTAAAATAAAGAGCAAGTATAGGCCCCACCACACTAAATTCCACCCCAGAGCTCCCCTGACAATGAAGTCTAAACTTCATCCACTACCAAGCGAGGGACCTGGGTTTCTTCAGGTATCTGCTTGCATGAAAGAAAGAGGCACTCCTGAATGGAATCCAATACCAAATGCCAGCACACTACCGGGAAAGAACCCAGACCTTGGAGTGGCTGCAGTGCTGGGGTCCCCAGCCAATGCAATCCTGGTGTAGCTTTGTATCTAAAACACTAGGGCAAACAAGTTCTTCCAGTTTTAAGGCTTTAGAAAAGTAACATGCATTGCTGTAGTCTGTTCCAGGCCTAATGCTGATTTGAAGTAACCAGAACTTGACCATGGGGAGGGAGGGGGAGTAGGGAGGAGAGAAGAACGCCAATGGGTCATTGAGACTCGAACTACAGCGTTCTAAACGTGTCCAGTAGTAACTGGGTGCTCTGGGAACAGAGGCCAGCTTCTCTGCCCTAGTTTCTGATTCCCATCCATCCCCCATGGTCAGATCCTCTATAGGCTGGCAGTGAATGGAGAACATCACTTTTGGTGCCCACCACTAATCCACACTCTTTCTGTTCTCCAAGAGGGTCCCACAGGACCTCGAGCAGATGGAATGCTGGTACTAGAGCATCGTGGTATTCCAAGAGTCAGTGAGAGGCTATGGAAAGAACATAATCTTTGGAATCAGAATTGTGTTAGAATCCTGATTGTCACTCAATGGAATGTACCCAGAAGGAAAGCTTGCTTTCGCTGGATCCAATTCTCCTTAAACAGGAGTCACAGGACCTGCACCTTTTGTGTGGAGAAAAATATTCCTGGTCCCGGTCAGAGCCTAACCTAACCTCAGCCAGCTACACCCTAAATGCAGCACCACTACTACACGAGGGAGAACGAAGCACAGGGGGCTCATATGGCTCCACGTGATACAATCCAACTGACAGCTGTGCAGCCCAACACGCAAACACATGCCAAGAACGAGGAGTCAGGCAGCTAAAGAATATCAGATACAACTACCCTGTTCCTGTGCGAGGGGTGGGGGTCACAGTTGCACCCTGTCTCATTGTGAGGGGCTTTCCTTTGGCACTTCATTCATTCATGCTTGCTTGACACTGGCTTGCTTACTGGGGGGATCCCTGGGGATGCAGCTGTAAATAAAACACAACTCCTGCCCCTCACCACCACCCACCACCACCAGGGCCCATGCCCTTAGAAGGGCGGTAAACACTGGCTGGAGGAACAGCAGCATCCTTGTGAGACTGTGGGTTCCGGAAGCAATGAGGCTCTACTTTAGGAAAATCACCTCCACCCCACAAAACTGAGGATGGGAGAATATGAGGACTCATGGAGAAGACATCAGCCATAAAGAAGGAGGCAGACATAAAGGGTGTCCAGCCACAGCAACCATTATCCTGAATGTCCCCAAAGTCCCAATGTCAAATAGTCCATCACCGCCACCCCCATAAACACTGGCTGTATCCCAGACAGCACCACATTACAGAATCTCAAATAGATGTTCTTGACAGGTCTTGCCCCCAGGGAAGACACAAAATTGTCTAGGAGACCCAAGTCCCAACTAGGGCCTTGAAAAGGACAGAATTCACGACCTCCTCTGCTTCACTAGCCAGAGAAAGGTGGATGGGTGTGAACTAAACTGCAGGGGCTGCTGGCCAGCCTCGCAATGCACCAGAAAAGCACGGCCCTGCCAAAGCAGCTGGGACGAATCTTTCAAGAACCCCAAGAGGAGGGCACAGGCCACAGAGGGTGGGAAGGGCACGTATTCTATAGGGGCCAGCAGCAAACACCTCAATGAAGAGGTGGCAACCAGCCAAATGAGTACAGGGGCCCATCTGAGACACTGAGTTAATCACCATAAAAAAAACCAGGCCGTCAACTACCTGTTACCCAGAAGGAATATCTCAACACCCTTCTTTTCACCAAAGGCCCACTCCACCATCCATGCTCTCAGAAGATTCACAACACTTCTCATCATTACAACTACCACCTTCTCAGCTCTGCTATGCTGTAGGCCTGTACTAGGTACTTTAAATATCTCATTCAATCCTTAAAACCACCCAATTGAGGAAAATTGTCATTATCCCCATTTTGCAGATGAGGTAACTGAGGCCAAAAGGCTATATAACTTACCCAGAGCTCCAAGGCACAGATAAGCATACAGATGTACACAAAAAGATTTTGCCAGCATTAAAGAAAGAGGCAGACCTCCACCAGATTTGAAACTCCATGAGATCCCCAGGCCCTGCCACAGAGCCTGCTTGCAGAGAACCTAGCTCCCAGCTTGGTACCCGGTGTGTACGGGGCACCCCGTGGGTGCCTCTCCAGCCACTCACTGCTCTCCACACCCTGCCTGACCCTGCCCCACCTGCAAGAGGGAACATGCCATGCCTGGGAGTCTTGTCTTTTCAGTTCTTCACAACTGAGTTCATCCCCAAAGACTGAAATGCCCCAAGCCCTGTCTACCACTGGAGACAAAATGGAATCTCACAGGTTCACTTCTTGAAAGGGAAAGAAAACCACCACCTGCAGGCAGAGAGGAGCCAACTACATTTCTGCTTAAGAAAAAAGGTCTCAGGCTTTGAAGCATTGCTCTCAGCAGCCAATAATGAAGAAATAAGAGTAGGCCCTTTTATTAAAAATTAATATTTGGGCTGGGCACAGTGGCTCACACCTGTAATCCCAGTACTTTGGGAGGCCGAGGCAGGCGGATCATGAGGTCAGGAGTTCGACACCATCCTGGCTAACATGGTGAAACCCCATCTCTACTAAAAATACAAAAAATTAGCCGGGTGTGGTGGCAGGCGCCTGTAGTCCCAGCTACTCGCAGGGCTAGGGCAGGAGAATTGCTTGAACCCGGGAGGCAGAGGTTGCAGTGAGATTAGATTGTGCCACTGCACTCCAGCCTGGGTGACAAAGCGAGACTCCATCTAAAAAAAAAAAAATTAGTATTTTACATTAAAAAAAAAAAAAAAAAAAAAAAACAGAGAAAAACATAAACCTCTAGTCCAGAAGCAAGTAAACACCAATTTGCACAGATTTGTTTAGTTGGCTCCAAAGTGCCTTCCACTGTTTGGAGACCTAAATTAACTTCCAGTAGTAAACTTAGGAAAGAAGAAGCTAAGAGGGCTATGGACCCTACCCAAGACCTAGGCACTACTTGGAACCACAAAAAGGATTTTATATGTCTTTTTAGACACCTGAGGCTGGGTTGCCTGTGTTGCAGACGGCCCTGTCAGTCCCGACTGGCATGTGTCTGCCGGGCATCTGAAAGCTTTACAGTAAATGGTGACTCATCTATTGCAGCCACCATAGGTACCGCTAATGTAATAAGCCAAAATTTGTTCCATCCACATGAAAGAGAAACGCTGGGTGCAGGGCTGTAAGTCTGACTCAAACTGAGACCCCTGTTCACCGCCACTCGTCAGCATCCAGCTGCAACTCAAACTGTAATACCCAGCTCTTGGGGACCGAAGGCAGGGAGAAGGGGTGTTTCTAAGGAAGGGTCACATCCATAAACACAGAACTCACTTCTTACAAGTCATTTCTTTTGTTGTTGTTGTTTATTTTGTTATTACCAGATGTCTACCCTTCCGAATTCTCATAAAGTCATTTCTTATCAAGCTCAGTCTCCCTATGTGGTCACTTATTCAACAAATATTTATGGAGCACCTATTACATCAGATACTATGCTGAGTGACAGATACCCAAAGGTGAGCAAAACAAGCATGAATGCTGCCCTCACAGAGATTCTAAGTCCAGACTACCTGCTTTACATATCTTTTCTCATTTAATAGATCCATCTTACAGATGGGGAAACTGAGGCTAGGAGAGGTCAGGGAAGTCACCCAGGGTCGCAAATGAATTAAGTGGGAAGCCTGGACTCACACCTGCTTCTGTAGCACCCTGAAGCGGAGGCTCTCAGCCACCACGTTACTGACAAAGAGAGGGGAGAAAGGTCCAGTCCCTGTTCTGAGGAAGCTCGAGCCTAGTTAGGTCAGGGAAAATGAAGAAAGTGCTGGGGTGAAAAAAGAAAGTATTGGGGTGCTCTCAGAAAGAGAGAGGCTCACGAGATAGAGACAGCAAACCTCAGCTGGGGTAGATCCTGGACATCTTCCCAAAAAGAAAGGCCATGAAAGTGGGAGGGAAATAAGGCCCAAAAAAAGCAGGTAAAAACGAGGCTGGAGCTAGGTTGCCTCCCAAAAATTCATGACCACCTGGAACCTTAGAATGTGACTTTATTTGGAAATAGGGTCTTTGCAGATATAAATAGTTAAGATGAGGTTATACTCATCTTAAGCTCACCTAATCCAATGACTGGTGACCTTATTCATAAAAAGAGAAAACAGCAACGCACGCGTGTGCGCGCACACACACACTCACTCACAGAGAATGCCACGTGACAACGGAGATGGGGATTGCAGTGATGTTGCTACAGGCCGAGAAACACCCAGGATCACCAGGAGCCAGGAGAGGGGCACGGAGCAGTTTCTCCCTCAGAGCCCCTGGACAGTACCAACCTTGTCAACACCTTGCTTTCAAACTTCCAGAGCTGCGAGAGCAGATATTTCTGTTGCTTTGGGTCATCCGGTCTGTAGTACTTTGTTTCAGCAGCCCTAGAAAGCTAAGACAAGGCATGCTCCAGGCAAGCCCTGCACACTGTGTTAAGGAGTTTGCACTCCACCCTGCAGGTGTGCGGCAGATTGTAAGCAGCAGAATGGGATACATTCCAGGGCGCATTTTGTAACTGGATTTTATATCCTTCAAATCTATGGCCTCCAGTCCTAGAAATGTTAGCGTCCTCCAGGGCTTCATTGTCCACTGTCCATGCTTTCCCTGCCCACATTCTTCTTGCTGGGCTCATCTGCATTGACAGATTTGAAATTACATGAAACCCGCCCCCACCAGGCCCTGCCACAGAGCCCGCTTGCAGAGAACCTAGCTCCCAACTTGGTACCAGGCATGTATGGGAAACTCCATGGGTGCCTCCCCAGCCACTCTGCCCGACCCCACCCCACCTATAAGAGGGAACATGCTGTGCCTGAGAGTCTTGAGTGCCAGACTCAAATACTGGAATCTGTTTGCAGATGGTGCCGGACTCCAGCGAGGGCAGTCGTCTGAGCAGATGCCTCAACCTGTAGTTCTCTTTGGTTTCTCAAGCTCAATATGTCGAAAGGCAATCTTAGCTCAACGTCTTTCACCTTACTTCTGTTGGGCCCCTCCTCATCTTTGTCAGTGGTGCCACCAGGCATCCAGTCCCATGCTAGAAGGTGGGGATCGCTGTGGACTCCCCTCCAAATCCAGGGAACTACAAAATTATCTCTCCATTCTAGTCCCACTGTTTCACTCCATAGCACGACTCTAATCATTTCCTCTCTGAATTTCTGCTGTGGCCACATCATGCACCTCAATCCTCTAAGACTCCCCTTTTTCTCCCCTACCCCCCACCCCAACCCAGCCATCTGGAATTCGAAGCCAATGCTGTCTCCAAGAAGCACGGCTTTCAGAAAAGCTACCTCCAGCCGTCCCCACTGCACCCAGCCTGCAGGCCTCTGGTGATTCACAGGCCTTAACCCTGCCAGGAGCCCCACCCAACCTCATTTCCTTCTCCTCTCACCCCGGCAGGATACTCTCCTCCTGCCTCTGGATCCTACCCTCTAACTGCTCTCCGCATGGATTCCTGCCTCCTATCAGAGCTCAGCAAGTGCAGAATCCAAGGCCCTAAGAAGCTAATACCTTAGGGCTGCTGCTTTCTCTTACAGGAAACTCTCACACTGGGTTTTCTTTATATTCATCAAAAGTAGAGAACGTTTCTCATTTGCAAGACTAAGAGAGTTCCTCTTGCCTAAGGGTGGGACAGGGAGATTGGAGGGTCACTAAAGGTTTTACATATTTAGTCAAAGCTACTATACGCATCCACCCAGGCTACAGTCAGCAGATAGGTCAGTTTCCCAGGGGGCTGGATAGAACCCAGAGCTGCAGACGAGTGTAACAGCGACCACCACTTACAGCTGTGCTCCAAAACTTTGGCTGTCTTATTTCATCTTCACCGTAATCCTACCAAACTCGTTGCTGTTATCACTGCCACTTTGTAGGCAGAAAAGTGAGGCATTAAGGGGTTAAGTACTCTGACTCAAAGTCTTACAACTGGGAAGGGAAAAGGCAGCAATTAAGGACCATCCCAGCTGTGTTCCAGTGAGGTCACTTACAAGGAAGGGAGGGAATTTGGTTCACACAGCCTTAAGATTCGAGGCCCCAGCACACAGGGCTATACTGATGTGTGTGCTCAGGGATGGAGACAGAATTTGAATCTCCTCCTGTGGGATTCTTTAGGCCTCCATTTCCTTATCTGAGAAACAAGAATGATGAGCCCCACCCAGAAGAGTTACTGGGAGGATTTAAATGAGATGAATGTATATTAAATTACAGAGCAAAATGCCTGGCACACAGAAGGTGCTTAATAAAGGCAAGCTGTTTATGCAATTAAAAAAAAAAAAAAAGAAACAAAGGTAAGCTGCTTCAAATTGAAAACAGAAGGGTCCAGTCCGGTGGCTCACACCTACAATCCCAGCACTTTGGGAGGCCGAGGTGGGCAGATCACCTGAGGTCAGGAGTTCAAGACCAACCTGGACAGCATGGTAAAACCCTGTCTCTACAAAAAGTACAAAAATTAGCCAGGCATGGTGGTGCACGTCTGTAGTCCCAGCTACTTGCGAGGCTGAGGTGGGAGAACTGCTTGAGCCTGGGAGGCGGAGGCTGCAGTGAGCTGAGGTCACACCATTGCCCTCCAGCCTGGATGACAGAGCCAGATCTTGTCTCAAAAAAAAAAAAAAAGGGAGAAGGGACAGAAGAAGATTGAGACAGAGAGAAGCAGGCAGAGAGGGAAGCAACTACCTACCCCTATGGAGTACAGGGAAAGTGTTACTGACCCAGCATGCAACAGAGCCCGTGACACAGAAGCACCATCGTTTCCAAGGGGCATGAGTCCTTTGTGGTCACAAAAAACAAGAGCAGCGGGTAGTGTGTATGGAAGACTTGGAAAGTTCCAAGCACTTTCCAGATACAATTCAGTTATCCTCCCCATATCCCTAGAAGTTAGTCATCCCCATTTTACAGAGGGAAAAACTGAAGCTCAGAAAAGTCGGCTGACTTGGACACAGTTACAGAGGCTGGCAGCTGTAAAGCTGGGACCTGGCACCCAGTTGACTAACTCCAGGTCCCACATCCTAGCAACTGCTTCCCAAAATTCGGTCAGACCCCCTTCCTGGTTCCTGACCATCATCTTCCCTCTTCATCTCAGAATTTTCTTGCCCCTCACCCTCTTCTCTTCTGCCCCTTTCCTCACTCCGAGGAAGAAGATGAACTCTGGCCGGTGCTCATGACTCTTCTTGTTGAAAGGGCATTGGTATGGAGGAAGGACCACAGTCAGAGCATGCAGAGGCCTCTGTCCTGGACCCAGTTAGCCCAGAAAGAGGCTCACACCCCAGTCCCTGAACACCCCAGTTCCCTCAGCTCACACGTTGCTATCAAGCTCCAATGAGGTAACAGGCTTGGGTATGTTCAGTATATCCTAGACAACTGCTCAAATCTACCTAATGTCTTCTAGACTCTTTCCCAACAAATGCCGCCTCTCTCAGACATCCCCCATACTGCATCTTGCCCAGTCATAGACCC